TAAGGACAGTGTCCACATCCCCAGGCATACCTAGCCCTTAATCTATGCATGCCTATGTATCTAGCTCCTAATACATGCTCCTAGAAAAATGATTTCAAAGTACCCTGAAACTTCAGGGAAGAACTCAAGCACGTAGTTCTCACTAACTCCTTTTCCAAAACATGTAAGTCCCAATACTAAGCAAAATAAATGCCTTTCACAAATTTAGGTATTTCCCAAGCCGTCCCCTTTAAGGCATGGGAAGATGAAGAGATCCTCAAGAAAATAAGCCAGTAGTCATTATACTGGATGCCGCTGTAGGGAAGGGGAAGGAAACAAGCCTTTACTAAGCATTTGTGAGGCACTCTGCTAAGTTTTTTATGAATAGTTTTTCACTTTTCTCTCACAGCAACCCTGGGTTTTGTTCAGTTGTTTTTCAGTTGTGTCTGACTTTTCATGACCTCATTTAGGGGCTTTTCTTGGCAAAGATGCTGGAGTGATTTGCCATTTCATTCTCCAGCTCAGTTTACATATAGATGACGAAGCTGAGACAGGCAGAGGTTAAGTAACTTCTCCAGGGTCACATAGCTAGGAAGTGTCTGAGGCCAGATTTGAAATAACTAAAATCTTTGCTTAATTCAACAAATGCTAATTCAAAGGATGTCCCTATTCTATGTCACTGCATTTCACAGAAGTTACTTTACCTGCTGCAGATCAAGTTAGTCAGCTTTTTAAGGGTTAATTGCCTATGTGGTTCTGTTCTCTATGGGCAAAGTAGAAAGGGCATAGGAAATTAAACTAATATTAGAGTCTCTACCAGATGTCTCCCCTTATTTTGTTCAAGCTCTCTCTTGTCATATGAGGCCCAAGTATACTGTGGGGGAATTTCTCAGTTCTCTGGCTTCCTAACCATGCAGATAATATTAGAATTTTAGTATCCAACACCCTTGGGAATAGGAGAGGGACTGTATTTACCTATTCCCCTTACAAGCACAATGGCTCACAAGGCTCAAAACATGAACATGTTTATTTACAGGTTATAGGAAAGAAATAGGAATAATATTGGAGACCCAGTAAAATAACAGTACCTACCAGCACACATCCCTTTTCTTTACTCAGTTCTTCATTTATCGTACTAATTTGAATGGGATTCTAAAACATAGATGTTGCTTCTCCACATCAGTGCCCTGCCTGGCTTTCTATGTGAACTTCTTTTCCTGCAATGCTCAATTCAATTTGTTTTTAGCAAACATGCCCATAACAAACCTCTTTTACCATCTAGCTCTACTGCTCATGCTTCTGGCAGCTTTTCTGAGCTCCAAGCAGTTGATGCATGGTCTCTATCAACCTTGAATGTTCCTTTTCATTGTCCCTTCTCTGCTCGTGATTCTTGTAGCTACAGTGTCTACAATCTTCTTTAGCTTCCACAAGTTGGCCATTGTTACCCAAGAACCAGCTCACTTCCATAATCTTTACCAGGCTGTGTTACCTCTTAAAACTCAGCTCTATTTTTTGTCTTTTCTTACACTATGATTCCCTTAGTCCTTGGTCTAACACAAATGTGGTTTCCCAGGTAATAGTGGAAAAGGGCATAGGAAATTAAATATGATTACAGTCTATCAGGTATCTCCTTTTACTTTGTTCAGAATCTCTCTTGCCATATTGAGCTTAAGGATACTCTGGGGAATTTCTCCAGAGAGGACATTCTTAACCTTTTTTGTGCCATGAATCCCTTTGGCAATCTGAGGAAACCTATGGACCCCTGTTCAGAATATTTTACTTAAGTGCATAAAATAAAATGCAAAGGCTTACAAAGGGAACAAATTTGTGTGTGTGTGTGTGTGTGTAGTTCGTGGATGCTAAGCTAGGAAGTCATGCAATACACTTGAGCATATAAAAGCAAATAGTCCCATTTTTTTTTCAGTGAAATATAAAACAAGGTTCTTAGTTGAGAGTGTAGAGGGAGAGGAAACCACAGAAGGTTTGAGCAATGAAAAATTGGAAAAACCACTGAGGAGGGGATAAGGAATTAATTTGGTGTTGTTGTTGTTCAGTACCGTCAGTCGTATCTGACTCTTTGTGACCCCATTTGGGGTTTTCTTGGCAAAGATACTGGAGTGGTTTGCCATTTCCTTCTCCAGCTCATTTTACAGATGAGGAAAGTGAGGCAGAGTTATGTGACTTGCCCAGAGTCACACAGCTACTAAGTATCTGAGGCCAGGTTTGAAGGAATTAATTAGGGAGATCTGAAAGAATTAACTTGCCACAGTGAGGGCCCAGTTGAGATAATTAAGTATAAATTTGTTCTGGACCCAGTCAGCATGGTTTCATGATTTTCTCCAGTTTCATTTAGCAGCATTTGAGTAGTAGTGAAGACAGTAGAAGGTGGGAGTAATCCCAGGTTGAAGCTTGGCAGGACAAAATTTTGGGAGAATATGAGAAAACGGACTGCACAGTTACTGGAGGAAAGAAAATGTGCCTAGAGTTTGATGGAATGGGGCTCAATCCCCATTATTAGAGTTGTGGAGTTTTTTTTTTTTTAAACCATCCAAGCTGCTTCTGCATTCAAGAAACTTCTGAAAATTAGAGGTTCTTTTCAAAATTGTGGGGTAGGCTCCTACCTACCTTTTTAAAAGCTACATTACTGCCCATGCATTCTCCATCACCAGCTCTTCTGAAGAAACACTTTTCCTGTCTCCAGCTTCCAGGCAGTTTTGCTACAGTCACATTTTACTGTATCTTTTCCCTCACAGTAGAAAGGTAGTTTATAATAAGGAGTTGGGAACTAAGTACATTTCACTGCGCCTCTCCCATATTGTATTCATTAACGCAGCTGACAGTCTAGAGATTTTACTGCACCAAACAATATTTAAAGTCCTTGTTCAGTACTGTTTTCATTCCTCTTTCCATATTCTCAAATGAGAGCAAATAATTATTCCCAAGAAGGAATTGCTCCTAAAACATTGGTCAGCTGTGAGACATGCTAAAGATTTTTTTAAATGCCCACAGTGATAAAAGTTTTATTTAATCCCTTAATGCAAAAAAAAAATGGATAGAATATTTTGTCCAAATCCCATCCTCCATCTCCCTCCAACATTTTCCCCTGGCTCTGGCTGTTAGAAAAAGTTTTAGTTGTAAATGTAACTTTTTCTAAAATGTAAGATCAGGAGAAAAGAAGGCATCATTGTGACAATGCTATTATTACATTAACTGTGGCCTCTGCTTCAGATAAATCTTCTGGTATTCCATGTAAGATTTTTACATATTTTATTGATGATTAAGTTTCATTTTTACATCAATAACTGTATGAAATGCCGGAAGTACGAATAGGGAGGTGCTTTTATTTCTTTTTGGAGAGTAAAAGGAACGGCCTTTACACGCACACTCTGAAATGGGTTTAGTCTTTTGTTTCTCAGTAAACACGCCTTTCATCCTTTTGTTCATATTCAACAACATATTTACCTTCTAAATAAGTCCGCTGAAATATAATCCATGAAGAGTCTTTAGCAAATGGAAAGGAAGGGTAGGAAAACTGGGGGTGAAAGAGAGGAACTAGCACAATTAACAAGGACATTCTTATTCCTTTAGGGAAGGAAGGAAGGAAGAGGAAGAAAGGAAATGGAAGGAAAGAAAAAAGGAAGGAATGAAAAGGGAGGAAAGAAGGGGAAGGAAGGAAGGAGAAGAGAGAAAAAGAAGAGGGAAGAAGGAAGAGGAAGAAAGGAAATGGAAGGAAAGAAAAAAGGAAGGAATGAAAAGGGAGGAAAGAAGGGGAAGGAAGGAGAAAGAAGGAGAAAAGGAAGAGGAAAGAAGGAGAAAGGGAAAAGAAGGAAGGAAATCGATGGAACAGGAAGGAATGAAAGAAAGAAGGAAGGAGGGAAGGAAAGAAGGAAGGAAGGAAGAAAAAGAAAAGAAAGAAAAGACAAGAAAGAAACAAGGAAAGAAAACAAAACAGAAACAGAAACAGAAACAAATCCATTCTGCTGTTACTGTTTCTTCCTGTCTATGAAAAAAGTATCATCTCAACAGAAGCAAAACTGAGCAACAGTTAATGACAGAATTTGCTTTAACCAGGCGCTATGATTCTGTAGACTGGACTGGATATACCACGTGCCTGAAAACTAGATTGTCTCATCATGGTTACTGATAAAGTTATAACAGGGTAGCTCCCCGAAGCTTAGATGACCTTCGGGACATAGTCTATTAGACTAGCTCTTTTGAGTCCTTCCATCTAGCCCCAATCTTCAATGCTGTGGGCTGCTATTAAGGACTTCGCATAATAAAATAAAGGAAAGTGGAACATCATCAATGGGCCCAAATTGAAAAATAGACTTGTTGGTTTAATTAGTGAAAGGTCTAATGTATTGTGTGTTTTTAAAAGAAATGCTATTTTGTTCATTTTAAGTTAAAAAAAATTCATATTAAGCTAAGCATCACCAAATAAAGGGCTTGGAGAAATATTCTAGCTAGTTTAAAACATTGATTTAAAAAAGCATTTGAGTTATTTGAATGTAAATGCAAAGTCGACAAAGCCCTTAAAGTTTCAGCACTGCAGGAAGTTAAATATGCAATCTTTATACCACAATTTTTGGTTTGTTTGTTTGTTTGTTTGTTTGTTTGTTTTTGGAGAAATCCCCTATGTTCATAGTACTGATGAAAACTTCAACCTGTCTTCAATTTATTTTTTTAAAAAATTAATTATTAAAGTGTGAATTACTAGCTGTGTGACCCTGGGCAAGTCACTTAACTCCAACTGCCTCACTAAAAAGCAAAACAAAAACAAAAAACAAAATTAAAAAAGTGTGAATTAATGAGTTTTATTTTATATTTGTTTCAAAGCTGAATTGCTAAGACAGATAACATGTTACCCAATAAATCAGGGTTATTATTTAGCTTGCTTCATTTTATATGCCTTTATACTATATGTCTTTCAAAATGAATATTATCAGACTAATGTACATGACTTCCCTTTCCCTTAATTTTATGTGAACTAATGTTTCTTTTATTTTTCTTTTATTTTATAGGAAAATATACCTGGAAGAGTAAGTACTTTTGATCTTTTTAATTATACAATCTATTCTTACAGGAAAATATATTAATCAATTTTGCAAGGTTATCATTTTCATTTTCTGAATTTACATGTACTAGAAGTCACAGCATTGTTTTCATAAATAAGTACGGATTCCTATTTTCCTGGATATCATTGGTATACGATCTCCACTGTCATTTAGTTTCTAATTTTGCCTGAAATGAAGTGCCTTACCATGTTAAAAATTATTACTTATTTCAAAATTAATGTAGCAAATTTATAATATTAAATTTAATTTTATAATATTTAAAATGTAAATGTATACCACTTTGTTACAAATATAATAAAGGCAGTTAGTGACTTAGTAGACAGCTGGACTTAGAGCCAGTAAAATATGGGTTCAAATACTGCCTCAGCCTCTTACTAGCTGTATAACCCTGGGCCAGTCACTTAACCTCTCCTAACCTGTTTCTTCATTTCTAAAATGAGGATAATAACAGCACTTATGTCCCAGGGTTATTATGAGAATCAGATGATATGATACCTGAAAAATACTTTCTAAAACTTGAAGGGTTATATGAATATGAGCTATTATTTTTGAATTATCCTATTCTATGAAAAACTTAATCAAAAGTTTACAATTCCTGAAAAGCTTACTCTGTGCTCACTTTATAAAGATTTAGGGATCTTTCAAGTTCAAAAACATACCTTCCAAAAAATAATATTGGTCTTAGAAATCTCCAGGCAGTGGTGCAGTATTCTGGAAGACTTTCTAGTGCCAGGCATGGGAGAAACAATTCCCTATGGGCTACCTTAAACATCAGCTTTTCTATGTCTTTAGTTGAATATGGCTCATGGCAACGGCAAAAACTAAGACTAACATTAGAGCAGGATATCAATATGAAAAAGGCCACCCTGGTACCTTACACAAAGACACACACTTAGCTTTCTCTTGGCAGAAAAAGACACTGAAAAGATGAATATAACGGAATTTGTCTTAAACATTGTTTGACTGATCATTTTCAGGCCTTTAATGAGTTGGGTTAACAGAGTTGTTGACATCCGAAGTGGGAATTCTAACCCCTGGGTCAATTTTTAGTTGTTAGTACTATTTTTTAATACCTGAGGTTTTCTTTATTTCCTTCAGGGGGCATGATATTTTAAAATAGGCAGGTAGGTGGTTAGGTTTGGAGTCAGGAAGACTTGAGTTCAAATTCTGCCTTAGATACTTTACCAGCTATTTGACTTGTAGGCAAGTCACAAAGTAGACATTTAATGTCTATCAAATGATTGAGAGACTGTATCAAGTTCTAAATCTATGCTCTTAGGTGACTTGTCCATAGCCATGTTAGCAGAGCCTGGATTTGAACCAAAGTCCTCTGATGCCAAGGGGCAGCTAGGTGGCACAGTGAACAGAGTGCCAGGTCTGCAGTCAGGTGGCAGAGGGGATAGAGTACTGGACCTGGAGTCAAAGGGAGATCTGAACTGAAATCTGGCTTCAGACACTTACTAGCTGTGTCCCTGGGCAAGCAATTTAAAATGTTTATGTGCCTCAGTTTCTTTATCTGTCAAATGGAAATAAAATTAATACTATTTTGCTGTGAAGATCCAATGAGATCATATTTGTATATTGCTTTACAAACCTTAAAGTAAAAATGCTTATTGTTGTTGTTGTTATTGTTATTATAATGCGTGAAAAGTGCTAAAAGTTCATGATTTGAAACCTGAGGAGACCTAGGTTCAAATTCCCCTTCAGACTCTTACTAGCTATGGCACCATGGGTAACTCTTTGGGCCTCAGTTTCCTTATTTATAAAATAGGGATAATAATTCTCATTGTACCTATCAAATGAGGAAGGAGATAATATATGCAAGATGCTTTGCAAATCTTATATATAATTCCATTTTTAAAAGTACAGGATCATAGGAGAATATTTAAAAACCAAGGTGTCAGCATGGGTCAGAAATTAAAAGCTGGGAGGACAGAACTCTCCTTCAACCAAATGATGATTGCTTCCTTTGACATCCCTGATTGTTCTTCCTATAGCCTGCCCTCCTCCTTTTCTCCAACCTCCACAAATATAGCACCACTCCAGGCCGTTCATCTCAGGAGCATAGCGGATCTGAACAAATACAAGCAGTGTGAAATAATCAATAGTGGAATTTCAGACTTTGTAATTGGCTTCAGGGTCTATATAGAATCATAGAATTCGGAATTAGAAGAGACTTCAGTGGCCATGTACTCCTACTCATGCCCCCCAAAAGTATTCCCCATATAATATACCCAGCAAGTGGTCATCCAATTTCTGCTTGAAGACTTCCAGTGAAGGGGAACCCACTAAGACCTTCTGCTTTCCAATAGCTCTAATCCGTAGCAAATTTCCTCCCCTGATATCAAGCCTTCCAACTTCCACTCCTAGCTCTGAGTTCTGCCCTCTGCAACCAAATAAACTCTTCCATATGACAACCCTTCAAATACTTTTCTCTGCCCCCTAATTCTCTCCTTCTCCTCTGAACAGCCCTACTTTGTAGAATAGATCTTCATAAGAGGAAGGACTCAAAGTCCTTCACCATCCCAATGCAAGTCCACTTCCCTGGACACCTTCCAACTTAACAACACCCTTTCTAAATGGAATGCAATACTCCTGATATGTTCTGACCAGGGCAGAGTGCATTGGGATTATCAACTCTTTGCTCGTGGGAATTATACCTTTCAATGAAGCCTGAAATAACATCATTTTTTTTTTGGCTGTTATACCCCCAATACAGGCTAATGCCATGCTTAGAGGGTCACTTGAATCCCAGATCTTTTGAAGACAAATTGCTTTTTAACCATATTTCTTCCATGTTGAGCTTGTGAAGTTAATTTTTTGAAACAAAATATAAGACTCCTTTTACATTTCATCTTATTAGATTCACCCTAATCAGTGGTGTGCTAGAGCCAGCTCATACTGGCTCTCAAGAGTTAATTATTAAATTTTCAGGAATTTTGCAAGTCAGTTATTAAACATAGCCAGGACACAGTTTAATCATTTCCTTCGCTGGTAATATTGTTACTTTAAAAGAATTTTTTTTCAACCACAGCACTGCATTTTCAATATGTTGCCTACTTTAAAGAATCGTGGCTTTAATAAAGAATATTAAAAGCAACTTAATTGCATTTTGTTCTGATGATGCTAATGCAATGCTGAGAAGAAAGTCTGAAGTAGCTATGAAGTTGTCAAAAAATTTTGTTAGAAAAATCTCCTAAAATCACAGTTGGCACCATTTAAATGATTGATTATGATTTTCACTTGATGATTCAATACCAGAAAGAAAACAAATTAAACAAATTATTTTAAAGTGTTTCTAGATAGAATGTATTCTCTTTAACATGAATCTAATAAAAATCAAACCAAGTTAGAGATTGTAGCTAAAGAACTTGAAGATGAAATGACTAAAATTGGTTGAGTACTGGCACTGAGATGGGTAGCATATAGTTTATGAGCTGCTACTGTTATGTGACACATATATCCTGTATTATATATGCATTTTTCTCATTCTTCCTATTCTAGTCTTGCAAAGAGATTAGCTAACATCAATTTCTTGCAAGACCTTGCTTTAAGGATTGACATTCTTGAAGAATTTTCATTACTTTTAACTGCATTGCAGTCAAGATCAACTAACATTCAGAAAGAGAAAAAATTAATCAAACTCACCATAAGAGCTTTGGAAAATTTAAAGATTAGTACTGGAAAGCATGAATCTCAAGTTGAAGATTTGATTAAGTCAGATAAGTTTAAACATATTGCATTTATTGAAAATAATAAATATAATGCTCTGCCTAGGAATATGTTGCTAGGAAATTTAATTCAACACATGAACTTATATCTTTTATTGCATGGAAACAAGGATGAGAGCATTTTTAATAATCTTGACTTATTAGAACCATTTTCTTGGCCCTATAAAGAACTAACTTTACCATGGGTTGCTGGTGAAAAAAAATGTATTATTTAAGTGAAATTTTAAAACAAGAAATTGATTTGAGCAATTTTCAGGATTTTGTAGATAATAACATACAGTTAAACAATGTTCCAATCTCCCGCAACTATTCAAAAAGCTCAAAAAGATAGCACTATTGCTGAGTTTTCAGTTTGATGAATATAATTTTCATGAGGCTAAGAAATAATTTAACATTAGATCACATATCATTTAATGATAATAGGTTTATTGGGAAAAGAGTTAGCAGGTTGGGCTGCAACTCCATTTGTCAAATCATGGTTGAATTGCAACCATAGGTTGGCTATTGGATACAAGAGTTTAACAAAAACCAACAAAAACATTCTATGAGAATCAACTGGCTATATGGAATCTGTAATAAAGAATATTGCGTATTTTATTATTATTTGTATGTTGTGTGTTATACATCCTTTATGTCAGTAATTTATATAAACTTACGTACACATATGCATCTATATGTGTAGATGCATGCTTTTTTTTTGGTGGGGGGGGCAGAGAGCTGGTTGTTAAATACCACTTCTGGGCCCGATGTTGTATTCCCAGGGATTCTTACCATTATTTGTGTCATGGATTCCTCTGGCAATCTGGTAAAGGCTATGAAGGTTGAGGGGGGAGGGGAGGGAAGCTGGTGTGGGAAGCAACAAGGTTGTATGTACCTCTTCTATACCCTAAGAATTGAAAGAGGATTAAAGAACTTTCAGTGTATATCTATATGAAAATCCTGGCTTCATTTCCTAGGCATTATTTTTCTCCTTCACTCTACTCCTTTGTCAGGGAGCACACATGCTGCTATATTGCCTGTTGTTCATCTATGAAAAGGGGGAATAAAAAATGCCAGGCACTGTGTGTCTGGGAGGCTCTTTAGCAGCTGAGGCTCTTCAGTCCAACAGCCAGGGGCACATTCGACAAACTTAGAAGCAAAAAAGGCCTTCCTAAAGTCCCTTATCGACGGTAATGGAAATTTTTCTCAGTGATTTTTTTTTTCCAATTTGCTTTTAAAACAGATGAGGGAAGA